CCTAATCCTACTCTATCTCGACAAGTGTCTCCATAGATTGTGCTTTACAACATACTTAGCACAATCTATGTTGTTGGCTACTTTTGAGATTTAAATGATGGACATGAGATTTATCTTTGACCTACAGGAAAATATTTCATGTTATGGACAATTTAAATAGCATAGAAAACATACATAGAAACTTGATAAGTTGATAGAATAAAACACACCAGATTACAAAATTGTCTACAGATAGCTTCTAGAATGATACATGCTGAGGCCACAACACATAATGTTTCATTCTTGACAAAAGAAAGGAGAAAGGGAAACAATAACATGCTGCACATACCAATATCTACACCAAAGTGTTCGTCTTCCTCCGATCTAACTTTGAGTAGTCTCTGCAATGTATATTGGATCAGTGCGCATAGCCTTTAAGAAACTCATGTAAGTCTCAAAGAGAAAAATGTTTGCTCAAATTATCTGTAAAGTATGACAAGAAACCTCCTATTCAACCATCAACCGAATAGAAAGCCTAAGCACACACACATACAATCATCAAATATCAAGATGAATCACATGCGGGGTAAATGTGAATGACCCGACCCTAAAAGTTGCTCAGAGCCCTTTTTTTACGGGAACTTGCTCAAAGCCTCAGAGCATTGTGTGGTCACCAGTTTATGAATGATTGTGAAGTGGCCCATTCTTTTAACGGTAAGCACAAGCGTAAAAAGATTATGACGGTGAGTTAATATACAGGAACATAACAAAGTGAGTTTGAGGGAAATAAATACCTTGTTGTTCCTGATACATGAATGCTCAGTTTAACTCAATCTATATGCCACTAATTAATTGAAGTGACAAAAGTGATATGTCTAGAGCATGCCTAGTGAATCTAACAGACAATAATTTAACTATACAACAAAATTTAGAAGGATCATTCTGATTTTTTTCCATCTAATTTGTTTTAGCAAAATATAAAATTAGGGAGATCCCTGTTGGGTAACTAAGACTTCCTTCAAATTACAAGCACATAAGAAGGTCAGAACCTAGTTATAATCTATCCAGTACTACAGATCTACAAGCAAACTAACAAACCTTCAAATTAAGAGAGCAAAAGGCACAACCATAGCCTCCAGAGCATTCCTTTTCTTATGTTGTACATGAATGAAACAATTTTTAGATATGCCTAGGAAGGCAGAACCCTGCATCAGTAGACAACTCATAGCCTTGAATACAAATATATTCAGCTACACAATATATATAAAAGAATCAAGGTAGGATTACATCTTTAGCTATAAACATTTCTTGAGCGACATTGCATAAAAATATACTAATAAATTTAATTAGGAGTACTTTTCAGGAACTCTATTTGAATGTACCTTTTGTGTACGAGTATTATCGGTTCCTAAGTACCATCATGTCATTTAAAGATGTACCAAATAATCAATCTCATAAGTACATATGTTAAAGAGTGAAATGTTTTTTTGTAGCTTGTGCTCCTACTGCTTTACATAACCAACCAACATTGAACATTTATGCGCCGAATCTATACAAAACAACATACATAAATTGGGCACTTACAATACTTGGAAGGAAAACAAACTGAAAATATGCAGGATGATGCTACTTGGTCTCAGGCTGAGCTACAATCACCTGCAGCCACTGCAGTAACATCACGGTTGACAGCATCACGGTTGACAGCATCGATGTGACTCCGCTGTCACCATTAGTGATCCGACATGGCAAAATGAGTGCAAACAAAGTAACTCCAATTTGGACGAAGAAAATACTTAGGACCGAGAAACATCATAGAAAATGAGAAGGACTTTCACTTCCTTACAGAATGAAATTTTGTGGCTTGCAAGTTTACAAAGTAATCAGGTTAAGCACTTATGATATAATTATCCGGATCAAAAAAGCTGATATCACTCTTACAAAAAAACATGCTATACAATATTGAGTTTCAGCATAGCTATGCAAAAATGTTCGGGTGCACGTAGGATTATTATGTCAATTTTAGCAGGAATAACAATTTTGGATGAACAATGCCTGCAAGCATGAAAGGCCATTATGTAATTCCAGTACGGAATCATTCAAGCCCTAGTAATATTATTTGAGATTAGCTTCAGAATATTTGAAGGTATGTGGTAAAGAAAGGAAGTGTCTGCATTGTTCGTGTTTGCATTACCATCATGTTCACATGGACATTGAGAGAATGAATCAATTAGCTTGTAAAATTTATGAATAGATTTGGTTCTCTTCTTCTTCATGTCTACATGGACGAATCTGAAATTTTCAAATTAGTTTCTATGACTATAGTGTCTACTATTGTACTCCCTCCGTAAAGAAATATAAAAGTGTTTAGGTCACTAAAGTCATGAAATAAACGCTCTTATATTTCTTTACAGAGGGAGTAATTTTTATATTTTTTAGTGCATAAATTAATCTAATGTTGGGAGATCTCCAAGGACTAACTAAGACAATCAGAATCAGAGAGGAGTGTTTCTCAAAAATTAATTTAAATTGGAGGAGAGTAAACTAACATTCCTTTCTTGGTTCATCACCCCCTCATGGGTTATGGCAACCATGCGGCCGGCCGTGCCTCCGAACACCTGTGTTCTGTAGATCGACGGTCCACCCTATTCTCATTTTCTGGTCACCGAAGAGTTCGATCAATCAGAAACTTGGAAGGGCGAGAGTACTCATGTTCCTGCCCTGTGTGTGTTTTTCTTCGTGCAAAAGTTCCTATTTCAGTTAGAGAGGTAGATGCCTCTGTAAACTGAAGCTCGTGTGTCAGCAGTTGTCTTGTCACTGAACTTTTCAATGACTGGCAATAAAGTTTGCTGCTTAATTTTGGAATGCCAAGCAAACAACAGTTTTTTTTGAAACAAACTGAAAAAGAGAATCAAAATGGAATCCTTTCTGACCTCACAATGCCTATGAATTTCAAGTAGTCATCATTTAAACACCAGACACATTGTCCATGCTAAAAGAGGTGGGAAAAATTAAATCTGAACTGAACTTGACAAAATTCCAAAGTTGTATAGCTGACAATGGACCATCGTATACAACAAAATCTAGTAAGCAATGCAAGAGCACACACGTACAAAAGAGTGAACATGTCTGATTGGTACTTTAATTTAACACATCGAATCATTGAGTTAGCTAGGTCTAGTTACACATACAGAATTTAACATCAAGTGGCTGAGTAAGCAAGGTCTAGCAAAAAGTTAGGTATGTGACTTTCATGGGAAGAACTGGACAGACCAATCCCTTTGCGAGGCCGATGGGCTAGACCAACCTGTTTCTTTCTCCCTTTGCGCTAGGAGAGTGGGTTTTTTCTACACCCCAGGTCGGTGCACCCACACAAGAAAACATAGCAAAACATTTTAAAAAATTCTTAAACTTTGTGAGAATGATCATCAACAAATGTTATGGGCACTTGCAAATTTTGGTGGTCAAATAACATTCGAGGAGCTCTATACAAAAAAGAAAAAATCACTAAGAATTAGTCAAAATGTAAGTGCGCCGTTTGAACAGATTTTGTAATTTTGTCTTTTTTGTACACAGCTCTTCTAATGTTATTTGACCCCCAAACTTTGCAAGTGCCCATAACATTTGTTGATGATCATTCCCACAAAGTTTCAGAATTTTTTGAAACATTTTACAATCATAATACTCAACAACGCCGACGATTGGCGTAACCCAGAATGAGGACGGCAACGCAGATGGGATTGGGAGGAGGAGGCAGATGGGATCAGGAGGAGGCAGGCACACACCAGAATGGGGAGGACCAGAAGGAGGGGGCGGACAGGCCGGAATAAACCAGAAAAAA